ACTGTATTTTACACAGTTTGCAAACCAATAAAAATAGCTTCTAGTTTGGAAACTTATTGGATAAATGATACCCAATTTTCTATTCTAACTATTAGTTTTACCTAAGGAAAAAATTTTAAATGATCTTCATGAACCATCTCATATTTTATCAGAGACAAACAAAATCTAGTTTCTGAAGAAAGGGAGTGAAACAAAAATGAGTGATTTCACTCATGTATTTGAGATAGTGATTCTGAGGGCAGAAAGCAAAGAAGAAATGAGAATATGGAACATGAGACACATCTAGTAAGGCCTGTTCACTTGAGTATCTTAATATTAAAGTTGAAGGGCAACAGAAAGATCTAGAGATGACTGAATCTGCAGCATCAGGAGAAATAACTTTAGAAAGAAGGGCAGATCATGGAAAGGCAGGAAAGGGCTAAATCTCACTTTCTGTGTCCCTTGGAGCCCAGCCTGCCTGAAGGGGAATCAGAATGCTTAGCTTCATCCTATTGAAGTAAAGGAGTATGCTCTGTACACCCTACTACAGAATATATCTACAGGCGCCTTTGGACATTACAAAAATAACAATGATAGCATGAGTTTTTCAAATGTGATTATGTTATTACTCCACAGTCACAATTTTAAAACTTGCAAAATGGTCTCCTGAACTTCTCTGGTTATCTTTGAGATGAAGTTAACCCAAGAGCATTGTGTTTGGGGTCCATTCACTGCCCCCCAAGACAGCCTTGTTCCCAGTATTCTCACTGTACAGTCTCTGGAAACTTCCTACTAGGGTGTTTACCATACCTCTCTCGGGCTGAACTATTAGCCCTTCCTACTTTGAGCATAACCACCTCCTCTTTTAAATGTGGTTTTAGGTGATTTTTTTTCTATCCATAGTTAAAGCTAAAGATTGAACAGGACTTGGGTAAATGGGAACATAGAGCAGAGAATAAAGGGTCAGCCTCTGGCTCTTGGTCTACAACCTGGGTCAGAACTGATGTGCCAGGAGATGGTACAGAGGAGCTCAGAACCCAATCCAGACTCTGGCAGGTATAGGGCAAACTATGGCCCTAGATAAGGCCAACAGCAGAGCATCAGGATCTAAGGCAGACTGTCTTGACACTCAGAAATCAATAATAAAGAAGACAAAAAAAAAAAAAATACTCAGACGCTTACATAGCCAGAGTCAGAAGAAACTCATACATATCAAGCCCCAGTAGAGGTCTCCCCAAATTCCATTTTCCATTTTACTTCTCACACATAAAATCAGCGACCATAGCCAGTCATAAGAGTTGTCTTTTGAAGCTTCTAAGAAAAAATAAAATAAGGTTCACATCAAAATAATATAAATACCCAGAAACCTCATTTCTCTCAGCATTCTGAGTAACACCATTTTACAATTCTATGAATAATACAAGTCTCACTCTCTTCAGGCTGATGGATGACTTTTTGACACCATCACTTGAAAGGAAATGAAATCTGCAGTTACTTTTCTAGTACTTCTACCCACATAACTTCTTCATTCCAAAGAAGAGGAGCAAGATATAGATTAGAATCTTTTGCCTGCTAATAAAATGAGAAGTTGGAGATGGAGGGGTTATGCCTTTTTACTCTCCCATGTTAAGTGATGCCTTGGAAACCCTTGTAGCCAACACTTCCTGCCACAAGGGAAAGGAACCCAGGAAAATGATAGCATGGGTCACTGGAAGTTTCATTTCCTTTAGGAACTATATAAATGAGAATGAACGCAATGTTAGGAGTTATGTAGTTCAACTTCCACTCATTGAATAATATTCAATGTTAATGGAGTACTTACTCTGTACAGCAAGCACTCTTTAAAGTGCTTTCCTGATAAGACCTCATTTAATCCTCAAAAAACCTTATTACCTCTATATTAGAACTAAAGGCAACTGAATTTCTATGTTAGAAATAAAGGAAAGTGGAAGGTGCGGTAATTTGGAAAAGTAACCTTTTAAGTGCCAAGGCTGGAATTCAAACCCAGGAAGTCTGATTTTTGGCTCTTAAATCCTAAGTGATTCTGACTTCTTTTTAACATTGTACAAGGAACATAAGCATTACTTGCTTCATTCCTAAATGTTGCTGCTAATATAATACATATTATTTCATGGGCAATATATGTAAAATATTCCCTGCACAATTCTAAGTCCCAACTTCCTGTTTTTCATTTGTATTATTACTGCTGCTTAAGGATATGAATTTCATTTAATACCTAACAACTCTATTCAGCCCCAAACAAGCAGTCTGTGTATTTAAATGAAAAAGCAAACAAGCAATGCAGGAGGTAAGAAATCTGTTGCTAGAGTCTTGTTATTGGTAACAGCGTATCTTAAGTGACTGGACGACATAATCACTGCCTTTAGAATTCTGAGTTTCAGGACAGCTGCTGAGAACAGTGCTTCCTTTTACAGAAATCTACACCTGGGGCCTGTGGGCATGATGCTTGGAACAGATGGACTAGATTCCGCTGAAATCATCTAGTGCATTGTCTTCTCTCCACATCCATGCTGTGTTTGGAAATCATGTTGGCCCAAGGCCTTTCAGTACTGCCTCGACATTTGCATTGGATTATTCCAGCCTATGTCTAGTGAGAGTGCTAAAGAAAATATGGTTCATTTTTTCTTGAAATCACACCTCCCAAGCTCAATGCTTTTTAACAAAATATAGATTTTTCCATGTTCATGCAAGCTTTGACTCATGTTCCCTTCTCCATTTGGGTCCAGCAGTACCTACTTTCCCAGCTGGTAATTTCAAACCAACTGGTCCAAGCTTTGAAATATTTACAGGGCAAACAAACCACTTGAGGTTGAATTTTCAAGTTTTATTTGCATTCATTAAAGATTAATCTATAGGGGCAGGTATTTGGCCTGGAAGGAAAACTTTCAGCTAGGATGCCTACGTTCCACATAGGAATGCCTGGGATTGATTCCCACCTCCAGCTCCTGATTGCAATCTCACACCCTGGGAGTCAGGGATGATGGCTCTTAGAATTGGGTTCTCGCCACCCACACGGGAGACCCTGATTGAGTTCCCAGTTCTTGGCTTTCACCTGGCCCAGCCTTGGCCATGATGGGCATTTGGGATATGAATAACAGATAGGAGTACTCTCTCTCTCTCGCTCTCGCTCTTGCTCTCGCTCTCTCTTTCCCTCTCTCTCTCCCTGTGTGCATATTGCTGTCTCAAGAATAAACAAATAATTTAAGAAAAAAAAAGATTAATCTGTAGTTTGAAAAGAATACCCAGCCCCAGCCTTCGAGCAGTTTCACTCACACATCAGTTTTATAACGTGGCCTCTCCTGATAGAGCCTAGCGTCCAAATCCCTTGTGCTCTTAGCACCAGAACAAAACTGCTGCATTTCTGCTCATTCCAGAGTAAAAGCTGTCATAATCTGCTGTTAGGTTTTTCTGAATGTCCTCAAGCTGTCAAAATGCTTGCTATGTCTATCAAAATATGCCAAATTCATTTGGGGCATTGGGCATGAGCAGCACTGAACTTTTTCACACAAGTGGAGTTAGATGAATAGCACACACATGAAGATTAAAAATGAGAAAAGCATAGGACAGGACATGTCTTTGCTACTAAATATGATAGATTCCGTTACAATGAAATAGTTGACACCATTGAGACATTAATTTGTCAATGCAAGTGGAATCTAGCATGTTAAACAGACAGGGAACAAAGGGATTTCAGTGGCCAGCAACATTTTTGGAGGGATGGCTACTGAGTAAAAGTTGTGCCAATTTCTAGCCACAATAAATATTAGATTTCATCATGCTTTGTTAATTTCAAGATAGCATTTCAAAATAGTATATGCTGTTTCAAATTAAGATGGATACTGTTAGCACTCTTGGAAGACTGTATGAATCCCTAAGATCATATTGTAGCAAGCACAATGAAGTTGAGAGACTGGAGGCTTCTGTAAACCCAAATTCCATATCCCAGAATACTTCTTCCTATCTACATTAGAAATTTAAAAATCACTTTGTTATATGCTGTTCATTATGCCTGCTACAGAATTCCAAATTAATTGACTCTGGCTTACTTTCCATGTAGAATTAAAATTGGAACCTCTAATCTTGTTTTTATTGGCAATACCCCAAGATCTATGAAAAAGAGTTGGGCACTGGTCTCTCACTTGGGCCAGTGAGACAAAAAGAACGTCACAGGCTGGCGCCGTGGCTCACTAGGCTAATCCTCCACCTAGTGGCGCCAGCACACCAGGTTCTAGTCCTGGTCAGGGCGCCGGATTCTTTCCCGGTTGCCCCTCTTCCAGGCCAGCTCTCTGCTGTGGCCCGGGAGTGCAGTGGAGGATGGCCCAAGTGCTTGGGCCCTACACCCCATGGGAGACCAGGATAAGTACCTGGCTCCTGCCATTGGATCAGCACGGTGTGCCGGCAGCAGCGCGCTGGCCGCAGCGGCCATTGGAGGGTGAACCAACGGCAAAAGGAAGACCTTTCTCTCTGCCTCTCTCTCTCACTGTCCACTCTGCCTGTCAAAAAAAGAAAAAAAGAAAGAAAGAAAAAAAAAAGAACGTCAAAGTCATATTTGGAAGGGGCTGTGCCATCATGGTGAGGCAAAGGAGAATTTTCAACAAATGGATGCATGTGTTTGTGTTTTCCAATTTCCACATCCACATTACATGGCAAGAAGGTCATTAGGAGGAGATAACTGAGAAATCTTTCCTCACAACTGTTACATTTTTCTTTCCCAAAGATGTGTTGATCTCTAAGAAAAATTTTTGTACACAAACAGTCAATACTTGATAGCAATGATATGCAAGTGTGGCAATTTCACACTAAATAATTGGCTCAAAGAACTGAGGCATAAAGTACCAAGTACATAGTATAAAAGGCAGGCCTGACCAATTATTTTCAATTCCCTGCTTTAACCATTGATTATATATGTAAAACAATTAAAGAAAAAAATCCCTTTCTGTTTTATTCTACTCTTCTTTATAAGCAATTCAAACTCCCCAGTCAGTAAGCTTCCCACTTACCTCAAAGGCCCTCTGTATTTTCACAAAGTCACCCACGCAGAGCTGGTTTTCAAGCAGGCGTGTGCAGTAGTCTTCACCTTCTATTCGCTCAGGGCTCCTTGGCCCAGGCTGTGACCTTGTGTTTAACTCAAGTACATCATTCTGGTAGTTCAGAATGGCCTGCCCTTTTTTCTGCATCCTTCAACTATTTTGATATCTTTTATTGTCCTTCAACAGGTGCCTTTGAAAAGAAATCCAACGTAACCACAGAATTCCAGAATGAAAGCACCAACCTTTCAAGAGATGCAATTGGAAGGCAAAAATGTTCAAGCTGAGGCACAAAAGGAAACCCTCAGTGCCATCACTCACTTGATTCTACAGTATATTTTCAAAATCCACAGTTGAAGGGTTTTAAAACACCCCCTCCTTCCACACTGTTGAAGCCGGCTTGATTGAAAATGTGTAATGTTTATAGCAACTGGCCCAGAATGCAGCTCCTAATCTTTGTTTCAAATGCATTAGAAAAGCAACTTCTCAAAATCTCTTTGGCTTACTCTGCTTCCTTTAACATGCTGTGGTTTTCAGCTCCATGTGCTTGTCTGGAGGCGCAGCTGCAAGGGTCTTCCCAACTTTGGCCTTGTCTCTGAAGGCCACCTTCACAGCAATACGGAGTTGTTTGCTTCATCTCTTCTCGGTGTCTCTGTTTCCAGGCAACCAACAGAAAGCCAACCAAAACTTTCCTTTTCCCTCCTCCCCAACTAATGAAGGTTTGAATATGTAATGTAAATGCTGACTTTTTTTTTAAAGAAAATTCAGGTCACTCATTTTTTTAATTAAGTTCACCCTGTATATTTTTTATATTCATTTATTTACGTTTATCTAAAACACAAAGAGAAATCTCTCATCCACTGATTCATTCCTTTAATGCCCACAACAGCTGAGGCTGAACCAGGCCAAAGCCAGGAGCTCAAGAACTCCAGTAGGGTCTCCCACATGGATAGCAGGGACCCAAGTTCTTCAGCCATCACCCGCTGCCTCCCAGGGTGCACATCTGCAGGTAGCTGAAATGGAGAACAGACCTGATGCAAAGCAGTGGCATAATCACCGTGCAAAATGCCCACCTACTTCATGAATTATTTTTGAAACCTTTAGTTAGTTAGTTAGTTAGTTAGTTAGTTAAAAGGCAGAGTTAGAGCTAGAGAGAGATAGTGAGATAGAGACGGAGACAGAGAGAGAGAGAGGTCTTCCCTTCACTGATTCACACCCTGAATGGAAGCAACAGCCAAGACTGGGCCAGGACAAAGTGGAGAGCCAAAACTCCACCCTGGTCTCCTATGTGCGTGGCAGGAGCCCAGGCACTTAGGCCAGTTTCCCCTGATCTCCCAGGCCATAAGCAGGGAGCTGGATTGGAAATGGAACAGCCAAGACTAGAATTGCTGCCCATGTGGGATACCAGAGGTGCAAGCAGCAGCTTAAACCACTACACCATAGTGCCAGCCCCTAAAGAAAACTTTTATAAATGTGTTTTCTCTGAAGAATGGCTTATGTTATGAAACAATATCCAATAAAAGAGCACAGCTTTCTGAAATTGTCTGTTTTCTACACAGTATTGTGTTCTGACTTAAATAAGAATCCATTCTGTAAGTTCTTTTTGTTTAAATTTCTAGGCATGAGGTACTTCAAAAATTTATAGAAAAATGGAATTTAAAAATTTATTTTGGTACAAAAAATTTTGCAGTCCATGATAGTTGCTTTAGAATGTGCAATTTTCAGGAGTTTTTGAAGACTCCTCACAGGCATGGATTTCAAAACTTTTTATACCAAAGTAATTTTATGCTAAATCCATTTCCTATGAACTTTTTAAAGTACCCTCATACATAAAATATAGAAGGTTCTAAGAACAACTCATTAAAAATGTGGGGTAAGGGAAACACTGCATAACACAATGTGATGAAACTAATGGCAAATTTACTTACAAAATTACACTGGTTCAGCTAATAATAATGAAAAAGTGGAGAAAAGGCAACTTCTCTTTGAGTATTTTCCATTGTTCTAGACACTACACTAATTCTTTATATTCCTTATCTTGTTTAGACAGCTTCACAACTCTGCAAAGCAACTAATTATCACGATCCACATTTCACTGCCAAAGTGACAAAGAAGACCCCCCAGGGCCACACAGTAAGATCTGGAATAGAGCAGCATGCTCACGGCTTCAGAGCCTCCACGGAAGATAAACGCCCTCTTTGTAGCTGACCGTCATCTCTGTACACCGGAACTCTGGCACCAGGCATTCTGTAAGGTTTCTTCCAACTCCAGCATTCTATAAGATGGTATGTGCCAGGTGCATGGTGACACACAGTGCCTTCCCTACAGCACAGAGAAGGAAGCATCCTGTGGGCATTCCTGCACCAGGGTTAGAAAGACAATACAATTTACTTCATGCTTCCATTATTTGTCTGCCATTTATTCAAAAAAGTCACTTACAAAAGGCCCACCGGATGTCAAATGCCAAAGCAGTTTGCCCCAGTCCTTGGGATCATTTTACAATTTAGTCAGAACCATTTTCCATCTAATTCATCTTTTGTGGTAATTCCAACATTTGCTCTGTATGGTGCTGTGTTGAGGAGGATTCTGAAGTCATGGATAGGCGCCTCAGAAACGAGTAGTGTGACAGGTGACAGATCTGTGCCACAGGCACACAAGGGTACAGGGAGACATCTTAGCCACAAATTCACTTTCCCTGGCTTAGACTTTCCTGTACATTAGAAAATACTTTGTAAGTCCAAATATTATAAATCCACCCATGTTTTTTTAACATGGGAACAAAATGTGTCTCCTTGCCATCCTAGTTAGTAAGCTAATAATAGCATGGATCAGCTGGATAGGCCCCATAAATGCTTGTAAAATATTTTGTAGTGGTATTCTGGATATTTTAGCTTAGTAGTAACAGACACTAATGAGGGAAAGAAGAGGAAATAGGAGAAACACTCTGTGAATCTGCTCCAGGAAAGGTAGGCATCCCACTGGCTGAGGATGCAAAATTCTCTAATTATTCACAGAAAATCAAGCTGCCTAACCTATTTGGCTTCCACAGATACAGCTCTAAATGTTTTCATTACTCAAAACCGGAAAATATAATGAGCAGCTAGCAATTTATGGTGGAAGTTAATCAATTGACACAGTTTCTTTCTGGAATTGTATGGCATTAGAAGCAACTTTTTATCATAAAGTCATAAATGGCTCTGATCTTCTTTGCAACTGTTTGGTTCATTTTCGGGTTAAATTGCTGCAGCTCTGTAAAAATCTGTAAGTAGCCCGTTGACTGATGAAATCCACCATCCTGCTTACCATGAAATTAAATTTGATTTTATGAAAATCTGCCACAGGCCAGGCCAATACTAGACTCCTTGGGGAATGTTGAAGAGATGAAGACCGTGTTGACTTTCAAGGAGTTGACAGTCAAGAGAGAAGGCTGGCAAATAACACTTGCTCTTTTCTGTAGGGCGTGGCCAACACTCCAAAAGCATAGTAGAGCACTAAGCACCCAAGAGGGCAGAGTAAGCTCATACATCCCTTGGCCTTTGTACTCTTTGGAGACTAAATAACTCCCATCTGTGTCCTTATCATAACTCTCCAGTCCACACTCAAATTCCCACTTTCTTCCTCCCCCATCATTTAGCCCCACCAATCTAAATCTACACCTCCCCTTGCCTCTGATTCCTCTTCCCTTGATGTGCCCTCTATCCCCGCTAAAGCCTAACATTCTGAATCTTTGCCTGCAATTCTCCCTCCAATCCATCACTTGAATTGAAGCCAGTATGAAGACTGAGTGACTGGTATGGGTTAGAGCTGGATAGGAGTTGGGAATTCTGGGGTTCTATTGCACAGTAGATTGAAGACATACCATGTTAATTCACTCTATATTCCTGAATAAAAAAAAACTGGAGGATAAAGATTTTGGGATGTTTTCACTCTAAAGAAATATTAGATGCTTGAAGGATAAATATATTTACCTCAATTGGTAAATGTTTACACATAATGAAACATCACATGGGGCCCCTTAAAGATGAGCATGTGTGTTTTTCAATTTTTTTTTAATTACACAAGAAAAAAGAAACCAGTTTCCTCTTACCAACCCCATTTCCTATCAAACCATTTCAAATCCAGGCTGTTTCTTGTCCAGTCGCCATTTCTGTGAGCCGAGAGAAGGGTGTCTTCCCGCGATTTTCCTGCTTTTTGAATCTGGGCCTTCCTAGCATGGTCCCAGCAAGTGACCAAAAAGCCCATGGCTCAGTTCAAAGGAAGCTTCTTCCTAGGGCCTAGCAGGAAGCACCAGTCCTGCCTTTAACACCTTTTAAGCCCTCAGCAAAAAGTTTATTTCCTTCCTTGAGCACCATTTTTTCCAGTTAGAATTAATTACTCCTTCCACGCGGCAACCGCAGTGTTTTGTTTATAATTTAACCACAGCACTTTTTCTTTCTGTCCTGTAATATAATTAGTTGTCTGTGTATCTCTCTCCCACTAGATTAACTCCTTAGCACCAGGGAAGATGCCTCAATAATGCCTTCAGCCTTACTTTGCCAGTGCAGAGCTTTGCCTAAAGGACACAACAGTTTAGTACTGAATGCTCACTTACAAAATAAGATGGGTGAAAGGCACATTCACCTATAACCTTGAGTTATCAGGGAAGGTCCTTGGGAATGGGCAGCACTGAATGAAAAAGACAGAAATTTGTGAAAAGATAAAATTAATGACAGAAACAAAATTTGAGGTTATATCCTCAAGCCACTTAATAAAAGAAACCACTCAACAAGTTTGTGAAGCAAGGCCTTTACTTCCATATGCTCCATTGTGATGAAATATGCGAACATGTGTCCGGGCTCTAATCTGTCTCCAACAGCACTCCAGGAACTCAGAAAAACAGGGAGGAATGAGGCACTTCTCTGTGCAACCCACACACCCCTTCTCTGCCCGGACATTGCTCAGAGACACGTGCAATCATTGGTTTAAAATTAATCCAGTCTTTTGGAAAGTAGGTTGTTCTTACTCTGCACAATATTAGGTTAGCCTATTTTTTATCTACTGAATAAGATTCAAGGTAACAAAGCTGTATTTTCATAACAATTTTCCCAAACTTTTCAAGTATTTGAAGACAGAATTCGTAACATCATTATATCTTAAAACAACCCAACATATACTTTTTGCAATAAATCACATATCATATGTTAAATTCTAGTCTAACAAGTAACCATAGCCAAATTTAAAAATGTTTGCAGAAGTAGAATGAAAAAACTAAGAAAATCCTAATTATTATTTTACATGTTCCTACTTATTGGAAGCAAAGTGCTGTGATTTTTCTCAGTTAAGAACTTAGTATCCTCTGAATTTATATTCGAGTAAGTGCTTAAAAGTATCCTAAAGTTCAATTCACTTATGCAAATTCTGATGATCAGTGCCAAAGCAAATCACTTTTGGGTTCCTCTTTACTCAGAGACATCCGTCTCTGAAATTCAGCGTCCTTGTTTCCCGTCCCATGCAGGTTTCTCGGTCCACAGCAGGACTTTTCCTAGGGAGCCACTTACTGGGCAATTACTCTGAACTAGGTTTCCAAATTCCTTTACGCTTCCTCTCTGAGAGAACACTGCATTCTATTCTGCTCACGGTTTTAAAACACTTTGTCAAAGTCACCTTGATGTTGAACACTTGCATCCATGTATAAACCCCTTAAAAAAAAAAAGTCATAAAATCATTGCATGAAAGGAGTCACTGAGATCCAGTAAACATTTATTGATTGCCTTCCTGAAGAAAGACAGAAAGCATATAGTTGGA